GAGCTCTTCTTATCCAAGTCAGCACTAGATTGTTATGGGTATAAATGGCCTTGGGGGTTGATTGCTCTCCTCTATTGTTTGGGTCAACGGTTTGTGTGGAATGCAAATATCTGCGCTACTTCGCTGCACGTCCGCCTGACATCTCGTTCAGGCTCCCCCAACAACCCTACGCCTCCACAGATGTGCCCACGTTTGTACGAAACGCCGCAAAGACCTTCCAGGTTTCTTGCAGCTTTGCGGTTTAGGGTGTGAGAAGTCAACGTCCTAGAAGAGAGCCACAGTTTAATCAGAGACCATCAGGAGGCGCCGCGAGCCCAGGATTGAAGAGAGAAAAGGCAAGCGAAAGCAAGGAAGGCGCTGTTGAGCTGCGGAGTAACATAAGGAGAAAGTGGGGAAATACAAGGGCTCCCTGCTTGTTTCCTCATCCCATCTCCGTAGGCACAGGAAAGGCAGTTGAAAGGTTCTAAGGGATGCAGTACGTGAGGGACCGTCTCTGCGTCTCCCATAGCCACCACCTTTATGAGCAATTAGGCAAGACAGGCGAAGTGGGCCTTTGGAACCATTACCTCCGGACACTGCCTCAGCCTCCCCATTCGTCCGCCTCCAGCAAAAGGAGAGGGCGCGAGAGGAACAAGGCACACACCCTGGCAGCACCGTTCTCTGGGGCCACAACCTGCTGCAGCCTCAGCTTCCACATTCCTGCTACTCTTGGGCTTTCGTTCCAGCGGCGAGAGGCCGGGGGAACAGAGGAGACCTTTAGAGAGAGCGGGGCAGAGACAGAGACATCCGCGGCAGGAGCCCCAAAGCCAGGCCGGGAGCTCTCCCACCTTACATGTTCGCCGAGAAGGCACGGTCGCCTCCGGCCCCGCTTCCTCGCGCTGCCCTTCGGCGGCAAGACGCTGCAGCTCTCGGAGAGGCGGCGCCCTTTCCCGCTTCTCCGGGGGCGCCTGCCTGAGGTAGCCTGGAAAGAGAGGCGGCGTGGTTTTGTTTTGTTTGTTTTTCCTGCCACCGCTACGAGTCTTCGCTCGGCCGGTCTCACGTGCAAGGCTCCTCTTCCCTTTGTTTGTTGACTCCCTTCAGGGTCTAGAAAGTCGTGGGGAGAGTCGCTTGTAGCCAAGGGGCGAGAGAGGGAAGCCAAGGGCCGCTATAACAGCCGG